CGAATAATACGGAATATTAACTAATGCACACCATGACGGTGTTGCGGTACGAATAACACGGAAAATTAACTAATGCACATCGTGACGGTGTTGTGGTACGAATAACACGGAAAATTGACTAATTCACACCGTGACGGTACGAATACCCCAGCAAGTTTACTTATAACAATGCGCCGCTCGTTATTCGTATCGTGACGGTACGAATATCCTCGGCCTTTTTAAAAATACAATTTTCTCTCATTTTCACAAACCTTACTTTTATAGAATAAGAGATTGCATGCAGTTATATACAAAGCTGGTATTCCCACTGCATCAATACATCCCTTTTGTGTGTTAAGACAGTCACACTGGCCAAGCACCAAAAGACAAAGTGGGTAGTTGATATGCACATGTAGAACATTTACTATAGAACCCCCCCTAACCCCCATATTCTTGACCCTGATGTCAGGAGAGGGCAAGAAAGGTACCATGGAAATAGTTGGGTTAAATATGAATAATATACATGAAATACACCCTATAATATTAATGTACACACAAATAAGTCACAATATTGTCTAATACAGGGGACAGTACCCCAGCGACCCACCTACTTTTAAAGCTCCCCAGAATAAACAATGAAATCTCTGCCTTATCCAGTGAAAGGAGAAATGGACAATGCTACAAAAAATAAATAAATAACAATGACTTTAAAACTCCCAATGATGACTTACGTCTTCAAGACATTCTCTTCAATGGACTCGAGGTTTTCCGTCTTCTCCCTGACTTCCGCCGGGGCATCGTTGCGTATTGCAGAAGGCTGGAGGGTCTTCTTCTCTATCCTCTTCGAGAAAGACAAACTGAACTTGGGGGCGCTCATTTCTAGTCACGTGTGCCTCTCCTGGTCTTGATCTGAGGCTCTCGCACTTCAGAAAGACCCTATTTCCTGAGATTTCTTGTTCTTGTGCCGTTTCTTGGTCTTCTCTCTCGCGCCTGAGAGAAAATACACGGCTTTTGCGGCAAAACAATAATAAACTTCTTTCTTCTTTTATAGGGTTTTAGACTATTGTCTAGTCTATATCCCCTTGATCTATTTTCTTTCTTCTTTCATCTTTCTTTTCTTTATATTATTTTTTCTTCTTCTTCTTCTTTTATAGGGTTTTAGACTATTTATATTATTTCTATTAGTTTCGTTTTCCAAAATAATAATAAACGTTCCCTGTTGCTCGGCTGTGTAGGGATCATGGCTATATATATTTATCTTTGAAAGTGTTTTTTGTGTTTTATCAATAAAACTAGCACTTGCGTGTTTCATTAATTATTAGGTAACTGTGTGTTCTTAAATAGGTTCTTATTATCATAAGATTAAGAAAAAAAACTTTCCACTCAAAGATAAACGATGCTCAGAGTTCCTTCCACAATCTTTAAATAAATCACAAATATATACTCGAACTTCATTTAGCTCATAACTATGCAAAAATAAAAGAAATCTTAAAGAAATCTCACCACCGTCGCCTGCTATTATAGCAACGACCCCTGGCCCCTCACAGCTGACACGCCGCAACAACAACAAGTGTCACAAGAAGTGTCAAGAAGTCTCAAGAAGTGTCAAGAAGTCAAAGGCAGGAGACATTTCGGACAATATGCCGCAGGACGACCAGGTTTATGTGAATGTTGTCAAGCAAGACATTGTCAAGTACGATGTCACTGTCAAGAGTCTTATTCAGGTCAGTTTTCTAAGTATGAGATGCGAATTCAAGGTAAATATCTTAATAAATACTTTTAAAAGGGTTGGTTCCTCTAGCTGATGTTCCTCTCTTGAAGGAAAATAGCGTAGGGTATTGTAGCATAAATGTTTTTTTATTAATATTATTGTGTTGGTGTTATTTCTGTCTACAAAAAGATTAATTCGATTTTTTTTTTTCAAGTGAAGGGTTATTTATTAGCATTGTAAACCGGTGTTACTGATCCTAACAAACTTGATATCATTGGATAGCATTTGCTTACACTGACTAGATAGAGTGTTAGTCTGCGAAAATCAGCTAGAACATGTAGACCCTGGCGATTTCTTGTTGGCTAAGGAACCAGTCTAGCCACTGTCTTGCCAGGAGATAGGAGATGGAGGTTGGTTTGTCTTTGTCAGAGTGCCAAAGTTGCAGAAACTGGGATCATCACTTGATGCTACATCACTTCATTTATCAACTTTCATGGAACCTCGAGATAACTATACAATAAGTAGAATTACAGGGGATGGAGCTGTCCAAAAGATCATTAATTGTGTGATATAATGTAATTTCTTGTTCTTATTGATTTTTATATATGTATTCCATAATCTCTCTAGTATATTTTTTGCCCTCCACCAGCTGTGGTTAAAGTATAGAATTACTCACTGATACACAGCTTTTCTACAGAAAAGCTGTGTATCAGCTTACTGAAATTTACAGATTTTAAAAAAATTGTATTATTAAAGAATAGCATAATGTCCATAGAGACAACTACAGAATTTCATAAAGTATATATACTATAAATGATATTCAAAGGGTACTGTAAAATATCCAATTTACTTCTTCCAAAAGAAAATTTTGACTGTGATTGCATAGGACTTCTCATTAAGACTAAAACACCCCTTACCCCTATCCCAAAAGAAAATCATTTTATGCCATTACTCCATTAACATTTAAAAGATAAAGAAAGTTCAGCACTCCATGTACATACAGGGCTGGAAAATAAGCAAGACACAAAACCCTGTAATAAACAAATTTTTAAAAAGTGTCTTTTGCCCTGTTTACTGTAAACATCTCATTGTTACAGTGCCATATAAAGCACCCAGAGAATAGAAAGAGAAGCAAGACTGAAAGAACAACAATACAACTTTTGCCATCCATTAGCCAGTGTACCAGATATAACTGAGTAAATCAGTTGCCATAGATTGTCCTTTAGGGATTCCTAATTCTCTTTTAACAGTTTTTACTTTGTTACATGCATAGTGCAGCAATGGTGTGTCCCTGCCTTATACCGCCATGATGCAAGATACCATGCAACCAGATTAAGTGATGTAATAGGATAAGATTTATTAATGATTATGAAATCTAGTTCCTTAACTGAATTTAACTAACACACCAAGAGTTAGAGGTAGATAACTTTATCTTAGTGCTTCTAGCACACTAGGACTTGGCTAACTTTTTGTCTAATAAATCATTTGTGGGTTACATTGAAAAGCTATTTATTTGCTACTCAGTTAAGTTTACATGAATTAATTGGCTATATTTATGAAGCATTATATTCCAGCTGTATTTCAACATGTTTCTTAAAAGTATTATAAAAAGATTTTTCTTTGCAGGAGATAAGGGAACACAATGGAACCCAAGCAGAGTTGGATGAATTAGGGTCCTTTGTTCATTCACGGATTAATCAGCTAAGGGAACAGATCGAAGAGTTAAAGAGATTAGCACAGGTCAGTATTTCAGGATGCATGAAACTGATTGCCATAAAATGACACCTGTGCCCAAGAATCTCTCTCTCTCTCTCTCTCTCTCTCTCTCTCTCTCTCTCTCTCTCTCTCTCTCTCTCTCTCTCTCTCTCTCTCTCTCTCTCTCTCTCTCTCTCTCTCTCTCTATCTCTGTCAAAACAGCAGCATCGATCTAGTCTTAGATAATTCCCCTCAGGACTGTGTGGTGCAGCGGTAGCAATCTTGTCTAGCAATCTTGCTGAGCTGCGTTCAAATCCCTCGCCGCCAGTGGAATGGTAACCCTAGCTACTCCTTGCACACAAGGGATAACTTAGAAGCAAAATAAAACAGACACTATGTCACGCCAACAATATCCATTGTAACAAATGGAATCAAATTAAATCAAAACACACACTCACTCTCTCTCTCTCTCTCTCTCTCTCTCTCTCTCTCTCTCTCTCTCTCTCTCTCTCTCTCTCTCTCTCTCTCTCTCTCTCTCTCTCTCTCTCTCTCTCTCTCTCTCTCTCTCTCTCTTCCACTCTTTCTCCCTCTCTCTCTTCCATCCTTTCTCCCTCTCTTTTTCACCCTTTCTCCCTCTCTCTCTTCCACCCTCTCCCCTCTCATCCCTCGTCCGTTGTTGTCGTGGGGGGCTTAGGAGATGGAGACTGATATCCTATCTTAAGCCCCAGCTGGTAGGTCTTTTGCATGGCTTTTTCATCTCCCCATTTCCTTTTCCTTCTCTTCTCCAACCCTTTCTACTATCCATTTCCTAAGGTGTGAAAGCTGTGTTGAAAGGATGAAAGACTGCCTTTGTGCCAGTAGTAAACGGAATAGGGGAGCCATGGCCATGGTGTTCCCAGTTAGTTGTTTAGCCTGTACCTCTCAAGGGGACCTGAAGGGTAGATTATTTTTCTCCCTCTCATACTCCAGGATTACTCTGGACAGAATGTTTTTTTTTCCTTTTTTAGGGGCAATGAGGCTTGAATCCCTTTATCAGCTAGCCCCACTGAGTTTAGTTCCCCTGGTTCCCTGACCCAGGTTCTCCTTTGATCATGACTGTGAACACTACTACCAGCCCCTCATCAATGCCTACTGTCCACAGTACTACTTTACTTGCCCTCTTCCACAAGGTTTTGTCCATCTACTACTTTGTTTAACCAAGCCAAATGGGATAATTTTTTTGTGATCCCCTGGACAGCTTCTTACAACACTTCTTTCAGTAATGCCTCCAAAAAACAAATAGGCAAAGTTTCCTTCTGTAGCCACCCTGATCACTCCAGTCTTGTCACAGTTAAATCAGAATCCCAAAGCAAAAGCTTTATCTATTCTGACTAACTTCACTGGCATACCCATTCATGCCCAACCTCATCCCTCCCTCAATACTTGTACCAGAGTTATCTCCATCTTCCTCCCATCAGTGTCAGAATTGTTGGCATTTAGGCCACCCTGTCAAACACTGCAGCTCCTACACCTCTTCCTCCCAACATATCTCATTCTCTCCTGTTTCATCTACATCATACCCCCTTTCTTCCCTCTTATCCCTTCAGCTTCCTCTTGGTTACATATATGACTCTCATATGCCAGAACAGATTCTCTCTGACATTTCTCCTGAAACTGTGATCTAATCACCCATAAACTCCCCCTTTCTCTTTTTGCTAATCCATACCCAATGGGCATCCTTGCAGAATCTCACATTTTTTCCTTTGACAACTTTGATCTTTGTTATCCCCCCCTTTTGTACCCTTTTCACCACCACCACCACCACCACTACCACTACTACCACCACCACCACCACTACCACTACCACCACTACCACTACCACCACTACCACCACTACTACCACTACTACCACTACTCCTCTCTCTCTCTCTCTCTCTCTCTCTCTCTCTCTCTCTCTCTCTCTCTCTCTCTCTCTCTCTCTCTCTCTCTCTCTCTCTCTCTCTCTCTCTCTCTCTTATTTTTTTTTACTCATTTTTTTCTTTTTCTGTTAATCTAAATATACGTAGTTAGAAATTTTTTAGATAGAATGGCTGAGGGAGGGGGTTGCAAAAGTGTTGGAGGTTTGAGCAGCATGTATAAAAGTATAAAAAATTTGGGAACCACTTCTAACACTATCACATCTCATCATGCCCCTCACCCTCACCTCTTCACCTTTTCCCAAGCTGTGTTATATACATTTTGTTCTTTTTTCTCTCCTTATTTCGTAGATAACTTTCAGGACTACAAAAGTGCATTATACAGAGCATGAGTTCAACCAAGATTCTTTTCTTCTTTTCCAGGAACAAGATAGCGAGATTGATCGGAATGCGTTAGCTGAGGAAGCTAATAAGAGTGAAAAAATGCTCCTTGACAACCACAGAGCCTTTCGAAATGCTGTTCTTGCGGCAAAGCTTGCTATCAATCAGGTTTTTTATTTAATTTCTACATGTTGCAACTTAAAAGTAAATGTCTTGACAAAATAATACAATTTCAATAGTTATTAGAGCTTTGGTTGTATAGATATATTTCTTTATCTCTTCCTTTTCCCAGAGGAGCAAAGATGAATTGTTTTCCAAAGCCGAAGTTCCAGATGAGGGTGAAGGAGGTCTCCGCCAGAGGGATAGAATGAGTCGTGAAATAATGATCAAAAAGTCTTCTCAGCTGACAGATGATCTTCTCACTGTAACTCGATTAATAAGAGATAATACAGACAAAAGCAGCAAAACTGTAGACAGATTAGGTATGTAATCTGCAGTACTTCTTATTTTTGTTATTTTCATTCATTCTGAAAGTTAATGAATGCTGACTAACCACTGATAGAACAACTTTGTAGAAATTTACTCTTATTAGCTTAAAAAAAAATATCTATCATTTGTAATGTTGGGAAGAACTATAATTTCCATTTATCTTACACATCTCTCTTTAAATTCCACCGTTTGCTTGATAATGAAAATCTTCCAGTGATGTATTCATTATTTCAGAATTCAAGTCCTGGATTGGAAGCTTTTGAGTATATCTTGGTGGGCAAATACAGAGAAGGCCAATCAATTTTAGTGTAATATGACCCCCCCCCCCCCTCCCCCATCCCTTGCTCATTAGGAGACAAAGACCGGTGCCCAAAGTAAGGGATCACCCCTACCTTGGACCTCAGCCCTCAGACCTTTTGCATGGTCTTTTCTTCTCTCCCTTTCCTTCTCTTCTTTAGTACACTTTCTAAGAGAATCCTGCTGAAAGGAGGAAAAGCTGGCTTTGTGTTAGTCCTGAATGGCCACCAGGATTACCATGGGCATGGTGATCCCTTGGTACCTTGTGGGGACCCTTAAGAGTAGACTGTTTCTTTTCCCCACTTATTTCACAATGGCCAATAATGATCTCTTACCCTCATAAGGGGGATTAACCCATTGGATCTGGTTGCGTCACAGCAATCAAATCAACAAAAAACAACAAAAGCTTACATGAGTGGCCACTCTGACGGGTGACTGCTTGTAGGTCAGGCACATGCAAACGTGTGTGCGGTGACAAGACTCTGTACTTCCTATTTATTTTCTGTTTTTTCACATTAGCATGTTTAGCTTTTTGGCCATTTTGCAATGTCCATATTTACCATTTGATTAGCATTATGCAGATGGTAATAGCTTTTTCTGTGCACAGACTTCAATTATCTATCTTAATACTTATACAGAACAGTTTCCATCTCCCTGATTGATTGTCCAATCTATGCCAAGGACTGGTCAGAGGCCAGCTTAAGTCCTACACCAATATTACCAATATGACCATTCAAATTGCTCTGCAGTCATACACATGTGCCAGTTGTGGTAGCTCCCATAATGTATTTTGTTAGGAGCTGCCTTGCCGACAAGCTTCAATCTAAGGTAGCAGTTCTCAGATTCAAACTAGGCTTAACTCTAGGTGGAGACAGAAAAATCTGTCTGGCCTCATGCATTCTCTACTTCTCTGCCATCTTCTTGAGATGTCTTAGCAACTCCCCCAGTATCTCTTCCTTCTACCCCAAACTATCCTACCTCTACTCCCTCTCTCCCCCTGTCATATTCTTTTCCAGTTTAATACTCCAATCTCTTTGACTTCCCAGACGCCTTCCTCCTTCTCACTTAACCTGTTACACCAGGCAGTCTAAAGATTCCACCCCATCTTCTACACCCAACTCTTCTGTGACTCCTCACAAGAAAACCTCATTTCTCAGAGCTCCCCACCCAACTCCTCTCCAGAAACTCTTGAAGATATCCTTAACTTAGCCTAAGAGGATGCTCCACTCCAATCTCTATTCCTATTCCCTCTACATTCATAGCATTTGCCAATATCCATCCTCCTCTTCCTCCCACTCTGCAACAGTGACCTTCGGCAGATCCTTCCCCTCCTGACATTCTTCCTTTACCACCTTCCCATCCTCTTATCTCATTCCCTGGATTTTTCCCCTACATCAACACCCATCTCATTCCTGTATTACCTGTTGATTATTTATTTATTGAATATTTTCTGCCATGTCAAAATCATTAGCAGTGTATTCAAAATACAGTGATAGAGTAGGGCTTGGGGGCAAAGGCCCCAAGTATAGGATTTTTATAGTCTTGTTACGAAAAGGGTAAAAACAAGTAAACAATTAGATAAGTAGACAGAAGGGGATGAAGAAAAGACCATGCAAAATTTGCTGCAGCAAGGACTGAAGTCCAAGGCAGAGCTATATGACCTTTTATTAACCACCAACATAATACTTATCTTGAAATTTTCAAAAGATTAGATAGTCATACATATTCCATTTTGTCCTTTAATTTACCATATATTTCCCATGTAAATAATTTGAGATTATTTTTCCAGTTGAAGGGTCCCAGACAATTGGCACAACTCAGGAAGAACTGAAGACGATGGGTTCTGTTATTGGTCAAGCTCGTAAAATCCTTAACAAGTATGGTCGCCGTGAGAACACCGACAAATTGCTGATTTTTCTAGGCCTAGTTTTCTTTTTAGCTTCATGTCTTGTGGTTATCAGGAACAGATTCATATTTTGATTTTCTTTCTAAGGTAATAAAAACAAGGTACACATTCACAATTTAATGACTGCTATCTACATGCTTTATCTAATTTCATTTGTGAATTCCTCTGTTAGCTTATAAAGAATAAAAAAGGAAAGAAACTTATTTCTAAACCTTCAAATCTTGCACATATAAAGGAAATTAAAATATGTAAGAGAGTGAGTAGATATTGTAAGCTATGCAATAATGTACTGTCAATACTATCATTGACAAAAAAAAAAAGATGATGTTGAAAAAGTGTTGAAAATGTATAAAGGACAAATCTTGAAGGAAAACAACTAATTTTAAATACCCCCAATGTCTCCTTATGGTATCTGGTTACCAGAAAATATAAATCCCAATGGTAAAAGTAACCATTCAGGGACATTCCTATAGAATTATTTATTTGTCAGTTTGACAAAAATATCTTTACAATTACATAAAAGACACACTAAAACACCTAACATATCTACAATACTAGTCTTAAAAAAGTGTTACAAATGTAAAATGATATAAACAGATTTTTTTGTTGAAATCATGACAGTAAAAGTAAGATAACCTTCTGATAGTATAAAACATTTTACTTCTATTGCAGTAAATGCAGGCAGGTACTCAGGTATACAGTTGTACTGCTAATTTACTTCCGTGACCTTGTCTGTCTAGTCACCCTGGGAAAATATAAAATTCAAAATTAGAAGGAAAATCCAACTCACAAAGTTAAATAATAAAACAATATAGTTCCTAATACTTTACTATTTATTTTTATATATAAAATGCTGGAATGAAGTCACTTATGCAAACATTCCTACATTTATCTGAACTGTTTAGCAATAACTAATAATAATAATGATGATGAAAAGATTACTGATCTATAACAAAAGTGTGCACAAATTTTGAAATATAGTCATATACATCCCTTCTCTTAACCCAATGACTATGGCTCCAAATATGCTCAGCAACCATGAAGTCTATCAGTAGGCCTAGTGACTGCACCTGATTTCCCCATTCCTTGAATTTGTGGGAAAGTACATTTTTCTTTCTAATACTAATAATATTGATTGATTATTAGTATTAGTATTATTAGTATTGATACTATGAACATTTTAATAACAATCTAATGTTAACAACATTAAAAACAATAAAATAATACAAATGAAGCTATCCAAAAACAAAGGAAAAGGGTAAACAGGTGAGATATGCAGGACTAATAAGTGACTTCATGGTGACTAAGCACTTGTAAAGGCAATAGTTGAACTTATTTTGCATCTGGTATGGCATTTATTGTTGCCATTCATGCTGATTAAGGTTAACTTGAAACAGATCTGAATATCGTCTTACTTACTTTGTCACTTTCTCCTCTGTATCAACTTTTCGTCTCGATCTGGTAGAGGTTTGTGCAACTTCCCTGTAAAAGACAAAGAAGGGGGGGAGGGGACATTAGTAAAGTGAATACCTTTGATCATACTTTGTATTTTTATATAACTGTAAACAAAATAACATTTAAATATTGCTAATGTTTCTGTGCTGAAGTCAATAGTGCTGAAAGCAATAATTTTGAGAACAACAAAGCTAGACTTACTCCTCATTCTTCGCAGGCTCCTCTTTTTTGCCCCTTGTTTTTCGTGTCTTTGTTTCAGGCTCAGCTACAACGGTTTCTTCAGTATCTTTTGTGGTTTGTTTGCGGCCTCGACCACGGCTGGTAGTTTTCACTTGGTCCTGAGAGGACTCGCTTTCCTCCTCCTCCTTATTGTTAGTGGCCTTACCACGACCTCTTCTGGTGGTTGTTGATGGTGTAGAAGCTTCTGAAGTAGGCTCAGGTTCTTCAATAGCCTTTGCAGCTCTACCACGTCTTTTGACTGGGGTTGGCTGCTCTGTTTCCTGGTTGCTGTCTTTTTCTGCTTCGTCGGTCTTTTTCTTACCACGACCACGTCCACTGCTGACAGGCTTCACTAATTCTTCATTAGCTTCTGACGTTTCTTGTTTACTCGCAGCTCTTCTTCCACCCTTTGGCTTGCTATCTACCATTTTTTCCCCCTCTGTGTCCAATTCCTCTACAACCTTTTGTGAGCGCCCTCTTCTTGTTGTAGGCTTCACTTCTTCAGTATTTACTTCTTTCGGCTCAACCACACGTACTCTCTTACCACGACTTTTCACTGGCTTTTCCAGGTCTTCATCCACACTCGTTTGTACTTCATCTACATTAGGTGTCTCAGGCAGTTCCTGGGGTTCGGCTTCTTTTTCAATTTCAGCCTGACCTCTTCTTCGTCCCCTTCGCACTGGTGTTGAAACTTTGGGGGATTCTTCTACTTTGGCAACTTCTTTGGTTGACTTTCCTCTTGTACGTTTTACAGCAGGGATGTCTAAAGACACATCATCAGTTTCTTCTTCTTTCTTTGGTTGAGCCCTTCTTTGTCCTCTCTTTACTGGTGTAGATGGTTTTACAGGCTCTTCAATGGCTGCTTCCACTGCAACTGGGAGGTTCACTTCTATATCTTCAGACTGCTTTTGTCTTCTTTTCACTGGTGTCAAAACCTTTGCCACTTCTGTTTCTTCATTAGTTGTTACTTCATTCTGCAAAACCGCATCCTTGCGGCTTCGGCCACCTCTCCTTGGTAAAGATTTCTTTTCTTCAACAATTTCCTCCGATTCTTTTTCATCAACATTAAATGGAACTGGCAATTCAACTATTTTTTCCTCAGATCCATCATTTGAATCCACCGATTCTTCTGCCTGATTCTGCCGCCTCTTTGACTTCTTCTGTGGCACCTCAGCTACCTCTTCAGGTGCAGTTCCCCGTTTGCCCCTGCGGCTACGAGTTGATGAAACTGGAGAATCCTCTTGTGCCACTTCATTCTTAACGTTAACTTGACGGGATCGCCCACGTCTCACTGGTGTATTGCTTTCTGACTCAGTTTTGATTGTTCTTCGAGTTCTTCGTGGAGTCAGGCCTTCATCAAGTTCTTTCTCTTGTACTACCTCTGTGTGGGATTTAAGTGGCTCTACAGGAGGTATATTTTCTGAAGGTGAGCTTGTTGTTGGACTGATAACTTTTGGAGCTCTTCGTGACTTTCTACCTGAAGCTGGTGTGGTAGTCTGGCGTACCAGTTCAGTTACTTGACCAACTACATTAGTTTGGTCAGTAAGAGGGGTTTTCATTAACTGCCCTAACCCTTGTAAGTCAACCTCCAAAGAATAATCTTGAGATTTGGGTGTTCTCATAATATTCTTCACTCCATGCACATTGGTGTAATCAGCTTCTGGTGCATTAATGTGAGTCTGAGGGGTTGAGAGCATTCGTTTCATACCCTTTACATTGGTATAATCTGCCAAAGGCTCCAGACGCTTCTGAGCAGGGGTAGCCATCAGATTCCTTAATCCTTTTGGTTCTGTATAATCTGCTTCCATTTCCACATTCTCTGGTTTCTGTCTTGGAGATTTCATTAGATCTCTTAATCCTTGTACATTAGTGTAGTCAGCCTCTGCAGTTTCTTTGGCACTACGAGGAGTTCTTAATAACCTCTTCAGTCCAGTAACATTGGTATAATCTGCCTCATTCAGAGTTTCCTCTCTTGGGGTCTTTAGTAGATTTTTAACTCCAGCAATATTATTATAATCTGCTTTTGGAGAGGGTGGTGTTGGCTTGGGTGTTCTCAGTACTTTCCTAATCCCTGAGATGTGGGTGTAATCAGCTTCACGCTCAGGTACAGGCCCTTTAGGTGTTTTCATTAACTTATGCACTCCATGAATATTTGTGTAATCAGCTTCAGGACATTCTGTGGTTCTTGGTGTCCGTAACATTTTTCCAATACCAAAGAGTTTGGAGTCATCAACTGGCTCTTCTGGGGCATTTGCTTTAGGGGTCTTCATGAGTTTACGCAATCCAGTGACACTTGTATAATCGGCTTTGGGGCTTTCTGGATTAGGTTTTGGTGTTCGCAAGACTTTCCTGATTCCTGGTATGTGAGAATCATCAGCTTCTCTCTCTGCAACACTAGGTGCTGGTGTCTTCAGCAGTTTACGGACACCAGCAACATTTGAATAGTCAGCTTGAGGGCTTTCAGAAGCAGGCTTTGGCGTCCGCAGAATTTTCCGTATTCCAGGTAAGTGAGTGTCATCAGCTTCTTTCTCCGGAACTGGCATTTTGGGCGTTTTCATCAAGTTTCTCAAACCAGAAACAGTTGTATAGGATGAACTTGTCACATTATCAGGCTTTGGTGTTGACATTAGCTTTTTCAATCCCTCAACATTATTATAGTCTGCAGCATTATTTTTCTTGTACAAGGACTTCAAACCTCTTAATTCAGGTGATGTTTTAGATTTTACACCCACTGGCGAGACAAATATATCCTGTGAAACATTTGGAGTGTCGGCACACTCAAAGTCAAAAGTAGTGGCATCAGTTTCTATGGGTACTTCTTCTGGTGAGGCCAAAGCAGACTTTCCACGTACACTTCGCAATAAACGCTCAGGAGTGTTGTTAGCCACAGCAGGTGTTACAAGTGGTGAAATGAATTTGTCCTCTGTTACATCTGGCGTCTTAATGGAGGAGAAATCAAAGTTTGTGGTATTACCATATGATGATGGAGTATTGGCATAGGACATACTCATTTTAACTGAAGTGTGACTATTGCTGACAATGCTTGGAGTGCATGGAGAGAAAAGAGCAGGTGATGCACCTAAAGAATCCTCAAAATCTGATGCTGAAGGTCCTGAAGGAGTTTTTAGATTTGGCGTCATTGAATATTTGGGCGGCCTTCCTCTACGTTTTGGTGTTGGTTCTTCTGGAGTTTTTACTGGACTTGCAACACTAAGTTGCTCTGGAGATTTTAAGTCTAATGTATTTTTACTTGGGCTTGAAACATCTATTTGCTCTGTAAAACCAAATATGTTCTGAGGCATTTTCACCGGACTTGAAGTGCTGTCTTTCTTTGGAGGCCTACCTCTTGGGCGAGGTGTGCCTTCTGGTGTCTTTGCTGGACTTGCAGACTTGGTTGGAGGCCTACCTCTAGGTCGAGGAGAGCCCTCCAGTGTCTTTACTGGACTTGCAGTCTTTGTTGGAGGCCTACCTCTTGGGCGAGGTGTGCCCTCCGGTGTCTTTGCAGGACTTGTTGCTTGTTTTGGAGGTCTTCCTCTTGGACGAGGTGAGGCCTGTGGTGTCTTTGATGGACTTGTTGCTTGTTTTGGAGGTCTTCCTCTTGGACGAGGTGAGCCTTCTGGTGCAGATAAGTGGTTCAAGGAAACTCCTGGGATAGATTCACTAGTTTTGATATTATGTGCCATCCTAGCTTCTGAATCAACCACTTTGCCTGGGGTATCCATGAGCCCTGCCAATCCCTCCAAGTGTTCATCAGTTCCTGCTGGTCCTGTGGTTCTGGACTTAAGGGGGCTTTTTCGTCCTTTTCGAAAGACACGGGGTGTTTTTGCGGTTTTCTTGTAAATGAAGATTGGAGCTGGTGAATTGACATGCCCAGTGGTAGAAGTTTTAAAATCAAAGTTTTGTGGCACCTCCTGAAAGAAAAAAAATACTGATTAATACCCTTCTCAGTTCATAAGAAGCTCTAACAACTTCAATAACCTTAACCTATAATATCTAATCATGTCAAATGCCCAGGATGACACTCTAGAAGCTCATCAATGTGCTAGACAACAGTCGAGGCATGGAGCTGATAATGAGGTCATTCTATTGAGCTTCTGTAGAATGTGGACTCCTAAATTCCCATTGTACAAAGCCATTAATATCCAAAAAGCTAAAAGGTTATTGCTCTTGTTCACATTGCCTTTATAGGACATTATACATAACAAACACCTAAAAGAAGTCACAAAATAATAATAATAAAAATAATAATAATAATAATAATAATAACTCTGAAGTATCCACACAATCTTACCAAAGAAAATTTGGTATTTGAAGCACCCTTCACTCCTCCAGCCTTACGAGAATCCCTGAGGACTCTTGCCTTCTGGATAACTTCCCTGGCACGTTGGGCCTTGGATGACGGCATCTTCCGCGCCATGAGGCCTCGCTTCAGCACATCTGCCCAGGACTTCTTAGGGGTCTTTCCTGGGGTCTTTCCAGGGGTCTTACCCAAAACTCTTGCTTGAACTTTCTTTGGCGTTTTCTTAGGTGTGCTTCCTGTAAGAAAGAAAAAAAATTGTCAAACAGATTGGGGGAAGATTAGGGTGGGAAAACAGAAAGGAAGAGAGAGGGAAAGAGAAAGAGAGAGGGAAAGAGAAAGAGAGAGGGAAAGAGAAAGAGAGAGAGGGAAAGAGAAAGAGAGAGAGGGAAAGAGAAAGAGAGAGAGGGAAAGAGAAAGAGAGAGAGGGAAAGAGAAAGAGAGAGAGGGAAAGAGAAAGAGAGAGAGGGAAAGAGAAAGAGAGAGAGGGAAAGAGAAAGAGAGAGAGGGAAAGAGAAAGAGAGAGAGGGAAAGAGAAAGAGAGAGAGGGAAAGAGAAAGAGAGAGGGAAAGAGAAAGAGAGAGGGAAAGAGAAAGAGAGAGGGAAAGAGAGAGAGAGAGGGAAAGAGAGAGAGAGAGAGAGAGAGAGAGAGAGAGAGAGAGAGAGAGAGAGAGAGAGAGAGAGAGAGAGAGAGAGAGAGAGAGAGAGAGAGAGAGAGAGAAAGGAAAGGAAGAGAGGAGTGGGATAGGGAGGTATGGATTATAGATACACACACACATTATCATACCTTGCTTAGGTGTGGCTACAGCTACTTTGGTCTTCTTGGATTTTGCTGCTGCCTGAGGTGTCAAGCTGGCCTTCCTTTTCTGTCCTCTTGAGGATGTTGACTTGGGAGTGGTTTTTGTAGTTGTTTTTACACCAGCTTTTTTGGGTACAAGTTTTAGTCTCCCCAATTGAGTTACTTTCTTGGGTGTTCCCACTTTTTTGGGTGTGGCTTTCAGAGTAGCCACCTTCTTGGGTGTAACTTTAGGAGTATCTACCTTCTTGGGTGTAACTTTGGGGATATCCACCTTCTTGGGTGTCACTTTAGGGGTATCTACCTTCTTGGGTGTCACTTTAGGGGTATCTACCTTCTTGGGTGTCACTTTAGGGGTATCTACCTTCTTGGGTGTCACTTTAGGGGTATCTACCTTCTTGGGTGTGACTTTGGGGGTATCCACCTTCTTGGGTGTAATTTTAGGGGTATCCACCTTCTGGGGTGCAACTTTAGGAGTATCTACCTTCTTGGGTGTAATCTTAGGAGTATCCACCTTCTTGGGTGTGACTTTGGGGGTATCCACTTTCTTGGGTGTAGTTTTTGGAGTACCCAACTTCTTGGGTGTGGTCTTGGGGGTTCCAAGCTTCTTGGGAGTGGTTTTGGGGGCCCCTAGTTTCCCTGGGGAGGTCTTTAAGGTCACTTTTGGAGAAGTTTTCAAGTTAGTGTTCTTGGGTGTTCCTTGAGTCTTAGGACTGGTCTTGGGGGTTGTCATCTTTGCAGACATGGCCTTAGGGGAAGACAGTTTCTTGGCTCCAGATTTAGGGGTGACAAGTTTTATGGGGATCTTTTCGATGGGCGTCTTTTCTAGTTTCTTGGGACTGGCAGTATGAGGGCTAGGTTTCTTTGGAGTAACTGCTTTAGGGCTCTTTGTACTTTTGGGGGACATTTTTGGACTACTGATCTTAGTAGAGATAACCTTTGGACTCTTGGCCTTGGGGGATGCCGATGGACTCTTGGCCTTGGGAGATGCTGATGGACTCTTGGCCTTGGGGGATGCTGATGGACTCTTGGCCTTGGGGGATGCTGATGGACTCTTGGCCTTGGGGGATGCTGATGGACTCTTGGCCTTGGGGGATGCTGATGGACTCTTGGCCTTGGGGGATGCAGATGGACTCTTGGCCTTGGGGGATGCAGATGGACTCTTGGCCTTGGGAGATGCAGATGGACTCTTGGCCTTGGGAGATGCAGATGGACTCTTGGCCTTGGGAGATGCAGATGGACTCTTGGCCTTGGGAGATGCAGATGGACTCTTGGCCTTGGGAGATGCAGATGGACTCTTGGCCTTGGGAGTTGCAGCCGATGGACTTTTGGCTTTGGGGGTTGCAGCTGCTGGGCTCTTGGTCTTTGGAGAGGCAGCTGTTGGGCTTGAGGCTTTGGGGCTCTTCACAGCAAGTGTATTTCCTTCATCATCACTGCTGTCCCTTGGACTGAGTGATCCCACAGCCTTTGTGCTCTTCTGAAAGGCACTCTCCAATGCACTTGATACTTCAGAAGCTGATAATTCAGCTTGCACCGAATGTGTCTTCAAGTTTTCTGGGCTTGAGTTTGGTGTTCCATTTAATGCCTTGGGAGTAAGGAGACCAAGACTTCGAGCCAAGTAAGGTTTCACAGGAGTTGGGCTCCTCCTTCTTAAAAGACTCTTAGTTGGGGTGTCAATACCACTCTCTTCTGTAATAACGGAAGCACTTGGAATGAGTGAAATGCGGTTTTTCTTCTTTGAGCTTCCCTTTACAAATGGACTGCTAGACAGATCCAATGATGCTCTTCGTGTGTTTGGTTTCTCGCCCTTGCTGACAGGAGTAGCTGGTGGCAACTGTTTATCAAAATGTTCAGGGTTAAGATAGGGCCCGAAAGAAACTCTCTTTCTCTTTGCATCAGGCAATTCAGTTTCCCCTGGTTTCCGCTTCTTGTTACTTTCAGCTTCATAAGTTTCTGCAAAGTAAAATAAAAAATTAGATATACAAGGAAAATAAATCAAATATCGACACAAAATATAATAACGATAAAAGACAAATATTAAATAAATAAATAAACAGATAAATACACAAATAGAAAAAACTACACACACACACAAACAAAATACAAAGATACATAAATATATATCCTTACCTAATCTGTAACCTTCACGCATGTGCTGGCTTACAGGTGACTTTGCTTTTGGCGAAAGAATCTTGTAATCAATATCCCTTTCTCTCTTGGTGACAGTAGCAAGTATAGATCCCTCAGGATATTCCCAGCGGAACTGCCTGTCCGCAACTGTTAGCAAGTCCTTATGAGTCAAGATGGATATCTCTTCCCCCGCTAAGGGTGTGTCGTTTAGGAGTGTTGGATTGGTTTGACTGAGGTTGGTAATGTAAGCCTGGAAGATGAAGGTGATGAAAGCCAGAATCCAGATATTATAACAAATAAATGGTGAATACATTTCAAAGGAAATGTATACATAAAAAAACATAGCAAAACTAAAATTTTAATACAGATAACTTTCACGTTGATAGAATACACAAAATGTGTGAAAACTATCTGCAACTGGCTGAAAACTGCATTGTGAAATCATGTGAAAATGAGCATAACAGACATTAAGTTTTAAGGTTTAACTTTAAAGGGTCTATTTGAAGATATTAGCACCTCAAGCATAAAAGCCTTTGAAAAAATGGAAAAAATTCCCTCTTCAGGGTGTTAAATCACTTCAAGGTCTCCTACAAAGGTAGATAGGTAGGAGAGACGGAAGGGGGAGAGGGAGGGGGAGAGGGAGGGGGAGAGGGAGGGGGAGAGGGAGATTGAGAGAGAGAGAGAGAGAGACAAGAGAGAGAGAGAGAGAGACAAGAGAGAGAGAGAGAGACAAGAGAGAGACGAGAGAGACAAGAGAGAGACGAGAGAGAGAGAGAGAGAGAGAGACGAGAGAGAGAGAGAGAGACAAGAGAGAGAGAGAGACAAAAGAGAGAGAGAGAGAGAGAGAGAGAGAGAGAGAGAGAGAGAGAGAGAGAGAGAGACAAGAGAGAGACAAGAGAGAGACAAGAGAGAGAGAGAGAGAGAGAGAGAGAGAGAGAGAGAGAGAGAGAGAGACAAGAGAGAGAGAGAGAGAGAGAGAGAGAGAGAGAGAGAGAGAGAGAGAGAGAGAGAGAGAGAGAGAGAGAGAGAGAGAGAGAGAGACAAGAGAGAGAGAGAGAGAGAGAGAGAGAGAGAGAGAGAGAGAGAGAGAGAGAGAGAGAGACAAGAGAGAGAGAGAGAGAGAGAGAGACAGAGAGAGAGAGAGAGAGAGAGACAAGAGAGAGAGAGAGAGAGACAAGAGAGAGAGAGAGAGAGAGAGAGAGAGAGAGAGAGAGAGAGAGAGAGAGAGAGAGAGAGAGAGAGAGAGAGAGAGAGAGACAGAGGCAAGAGAGAGACAGAGGCAAGAGAGAGACAGAGGCAAGAGAGAGAGAGAGAGAGAGAGAGAGAGAGAGAGAGAGAGAGAGAGAGAGAGAGAGAGAGAGAGAGAGAGAGAGAGAGAGAGAGAGAGAGAGAGAGACAAGAGAGAGAGAGAGAGAGACAAGAGAGAGAGAGAGAGAGAGAGAGAGAGAGAGAGAGAGAGAGAGAGAGAGAGAGAGAGAGAGAGAGAGAGAGAGACAAGAGAGAGAGAGAGACAGAGAGAGAGAGAGAGAGAGAGAGAGAGAGAGAGAGAGAGAGAGAGAGAGAGAGAGAGAGAGAGAGAGAGAGAGAGAGAGAGAGAGAGAGAGAGAGAGAGAGAGAGAGAGAGAGAGAGAGAGAGAGAGAGAGAGAGAGAGAGAGAGAGAGAGAGAGAGAGAGAGAGAGAGAGAGAGAGAGAGAGAGAGAGAGAGAGAGACAAGAGAGAGAGAGAGACAAGAGAGAGAGAGAGACAAGAGAGAGAGAGAGACAAGAGAGAGAGAGAGAGACAAGAGAGAGAGAGAGACAAGAGAGAGAGAGAGACAAGAGAGAGAGAGAGACAAGAGAGAGAGAGAGACAAGAGAGAGAGAGAGACAAGAGAGAGAGAGAGAGAGAGAGAGAGAGAGAGAGAGAGAGAGAGAGAGAGAGAGAGAGAGAGAGAGAGAGAGAGAGAGAGAGAGAGAGAGAGAGAGAGAGAGAGACAAGAGAGAGAGAGAGACAAGAGAGAGAGAGAGACAAGAGAGAGAGAGAGAAGAGAGAGAGAGAGACAAGAGAGAGAGAGAGAGAGAGAGAGAGAGAGAGAGAGAGAGAGAGAGAGAGAGAGAGAGAGAGAGAGAGAGAGAGAGAGAGAGAGAGAGAGAGAGAGACAAGAGAGAGAGAGAGAGAGAGAGAGACAGAGAGAGAGAGAGAGAGAGAGACAAGAGAGAGAGAGAGAGAGAGAGAGACAAGAGAGAGAGAGAGAGAGAGAGAGACAAGAGAGAGAGAGAGAGAGAGAGACAGAGAGAGAGAGAGAGAGAGAGAGAGAGAGAGAGAGAGAGAGAGAGAGAGAGACAAGAGAGAGAGAGAGAGAGAGAGAGACAGAGAGAGAGAGAGAGAGAGAGAGACAAGAGAGAGAGAGAGAGAGAGAGAGACAAGAGAGAGAGAGAGAGAGAGAGAGACAAGAGAGAGAGAGAGAGAGAGAGAGAGAGAGAGAGAGAGAGAGAGAGAAGAGAGAGAGAGAGAGAGAGAGAGAGAGAGAGAGAGAGAGAGAGAGAGAGAGAGAGAGAGAGAGAGAGAGAGAGAGAGAGAGAGAGAGAAGAGAGAGAGAGAGAGAGAGAGAGAGAGAGAGAGAGAGAGAGAGAGAGAGAGAGAGAGAGAGAGAGAGAGAGAGACAAGAGAGAGAGAGAGAGAGAGAGAGAGAGAGAGAGAGAGAGAGAGAGAGAGAGAGAGAGAGAGAGAGAGAGAGACAAGAGAGAGAGAGAGAGAGAGAGAGAGAGAGA